TTATGTTGAGACTCCGATGTCAGGACTTTACTCAAATAGCACTACAAAGAGCGCCAAGCCTGGAAGCTCAATACCCGCTAGCTCTGAAGGGAATGCTGCTGTGACTTCCAGCGCTGCCGCTTCATCACTTTCTTCCGGCGACCCTGGCACTCTTTCGACTGTTAAAACATCTCCGTGGTCCAGCACCACTCCTTCAGGATCTGCCAAGTCACAATCTTCTGCGGAGAAACCAGCTACGCCCTTTTCGATGTCTACTATTTCTTCCGAACCTGTGCCTACTGTGACGGGCCAAACAAGCTCTAACTCTTTTACTGAAGATGTAACTGAGACAGAAATAGTGACGAGTGCTGCTCCTCTTGTCCCAACGCGCTCTAACAGCATGAACGTATTATCCGGAACCTCAAACTCCAACACAGCTACCAATAGTGAGTCTGCTGCTACTTCCGAATCGAAGGTTGAAAATACAGCTACTATTCTAGGTGGGTCTAATATCAACTCAGCAGGCACACCAGTTGGCACACCAGTTGGCACGCCAGTTGGCACACCAGTTGGCACATCAGTTGGCACACCAGTTGGCACACCAGTTGGCACACCAGTTGGCACACCAGTTGGCACACCAGCAGGTTCTCCAGTTGGCACACCAGTTGGCTCTCCAGTTAGCACACCGGCAGGCTCTCCAGTTGGCTCTCCAGTTGGCACACCAGTTGGCACACCAGCAGGTTCTCCAGTTGGCACACCAGTTGGCACACCAGCAGGTTCTCCAACGCTCGACAGTCCAACCGCCGTACCAAACTCAAACAATGGTTACGACGGCAATAGTAGCCCAGGTGAACCTTCCACCACCGCAAATCCTGATAATAACCAAGGTTCTCCACATAACAGTGATGAAAATCCATCAAGCTCTAGCGAGCAAAGTATCAATAGTTTTGCTTCGATAACAGCAGGATTTGGTCTTCAATCACAACCTGGCGACGAAACCACCACGGTTTCTCCCTCAACTTCTCCAACACAAATTTCCGGCTCTTTTTCGGCTTCATCCTCCTCGAGTGCTACTTTCTCAGTTTCAACGTATGAAGGTGCTGCTCAGAAGCTTGGACTTGGGTTTCTACTTGCACTGCCCTTGGCGTTAATCTAGGCAGTAGCTGCGCGACACTACTCGCAAACCAAGGTTCATATAAAGCTTCCCCTGGAGATGCTGATAACAGCATCGAGGTTGATAGGAACGTTTACATATAATCTATACACTGTGTCGATGGTAAAAAGCGTAAAAAGCGTAACCTGTTAATGCGGTTGTGTGTAACATCATTAAAATTATTGCCTTTGATACATAACTAAGAGTCATATATGTTGTCGAGCACTTAGAGCTTGTTTTCTATGCTTGAACTTTGTCATGTCCAAAAGGAAAATCAAGAATACGAAATTAGTGCTCGAGTACATGAATGGACTGATATGGGAACCAATATGGATTCCTCATACGTCGTGGGCTGACTTGAAAAATCAAGCGGGTGTTGCCGAGTCTGTGACATTTACCAGAATTTTGCGATGAAGCCGATAGTGTTTACTGTAATTTTCAAATCATTGTGGTCGACTGTCAAAATCCTTCGATAGAGGATTCGAACTTATCCACCAAAAAATTGCACCAAAATGTCGTGTAGCGATGGTGATCAACGGCGAACATGAAGCATAGAACATAGGGTCTGCTCCTAAAAACAGGGTTTGCAACTAAAACTGACAAGACTAAATATGCGCTCCTAAACCACTTCTTCCACTTATGATCAATGAAAAGTTCGTTTCAATGCTTCATGTTTTATCTTTTACCTCAGTAGACGAAATTCTCTGTGAAGCTGTCGACAATCTTTCGACCCTGCGTATCTTATCACTGTTAGCAAGCCCACATACTTAGTCACAGCTCTTATCACATGCGTCGAGGGCATAAACATTACCATCGATCAGTACTCTCTCAATCACACGATGCGCACGTCATCTTAGCCTCGTGAGTTTTTCAATGGACGCGGTGCTATTCAAGTGGATTTCACTACAAGACACGATATATCGTAACTCAGATTGAGAAAGGCTACACTAAGTGACCTGATGGACTGTCAATTTGTATTTATTACAATACTCTTCGTAAAACATTTTTGTAAGGTAGGGACTGAGACCGGCAAGTTAAGGTATCTGTCTCAAGTCCAAGCTAATCATCCGAAGATTTAGCCTACTGACAATGCCACATTGTATTGTATAAAGCTGAACTCGCTCCTCCCATCGTTACGTCTTATCCGCAAGTAAGTATTTTCATTGGTGTGGTTCTCGTTTTAGACCTCTGCCAATTCTATCCACATAAAGGTGCTATTCAACGTTATTAGATAACGAAAGCTGTAAGTAGAATTGTGTAGGGAGTGGAAGGCTCCTTTTGTGGCGGAAATCAGCGAGCTTTTGTTCGAGGATGGAGATGAGGGGCAGGTACTTATGTTAGCAATCAAAGAAGGCTTCGTAGCGCTCACGCCGAAAGATTTACAGGATCACGATAAGATAGCCTAACGGCCCAGCAAACGACTCAATTTTGATTAATGCCAGCGAAATAATCGAAAAGCTTCACTCGCTTACAGAAAGAGCTATGCTTTACTAGAGCACCTTTTTTGCACCTTCGCTAACTGATCGACTGAACAGCAAGAGACCGGCGTAAAAGACACTACTCCTGAGATAATCGAAGAAAGTAGTAATAATGCTCCACCCTTAGACCAGTCACAATTTGATTATCTGACTTTTGCAGAAATTCCGCTAAAGCTGAAATATTCATAAATGTCTTTGCTGACATCAATAAAATACGATTTATAATTCAAGGGGAGCTTACTAAGTATCGAGATACCTTACTGAGGTATAAAAGACAGGAAGATGGATGGCTCTAAAGCAATAGGAATGCCTTATTGAAAGTAAGCATCGTTCCTATATTGATTGCATCATAATTAGAATGGCGTTTGGAATTAAACTCAGTAAAGGGTTGCAGTGGACTAATGTTACCGCTGACAAGTTAAATTTGAAATCACTCAGAGTAGCGATAATCGGAGGAACTGGGGGAATTGGTCAAAGCTTCAGCCGACTTTTTCAAAGTAAAGGTGCTGAGGTCATTGTGGTAGGTCGGACATTTAAAGACGGCGACTTGAAAAATGTTCAGTTCATCAAGGCAGACCTGGACTTGATGTCAGAGGCTAGGCGAGTGTCACAAGAACTCGCAAAACAGCCACTAGACTTGGTGATATTCACTACAGGTATTTTTGCTGCTCCCACTCGCGAGGAAACAGCTGAGGGCTTGGAGCGCGATATGGCCGTAAGCTATCTCAGCAGACTAGTGATCATTCGCGGAATTTTGCCTACGCTTGAGAAAAATAGCACTCATATGTTCAAAAGGCCGAGAGTCTTCATTGTTGGGTTTCCCGGCACGGGAGAGCTGGGAAAAGTTGATGATTTGAATTCGGAGGGCAAGTATAGCGCAATGCAAACACATATGACCACAGTGGCAGGTAACGAGGCTCTCGTGCTCGACTCTGCACAGCGCTATCCTAAAATTGGATTATATGGACTAAACCCGGGTTTGATAAAGACAAGCATCCGGAACAATTTCTTAGGCGCTGACAGCTGGAAGTCATGGGCGATTGAGGGTATCATTGGTCTGTGGTGCCAGAATGCCGAGCAGTATGCGCTTCGCATGCTTCCAATGATGGTATCCTCTGACTTGGAGGCGCACAGCCCTGCCTTCTTCAACAACAAGGCCGAGGCTATCCAATCTCAAAAGTTCACTGAGCCTTATGTCAAGGAATTCATTGGCAACTCCGAAGAGCTCGTGAGAAAATCAGGGATACCTCTAGATTGAACGTCTGATGTGTATCTACAAGTATATAATATTCCTATCTAAACTGCTGGTTCTTATGAAAGATCAAGGTGATCAACAAATATATTCTTTAACATAAACGAGCTCACAGAGCTGTGTGAAGAAAAACCAATTCAATCAGGGTTCTTACCATGGTATAGGGGAAAACAAGTATATCATCGAAATCAAATAAGATGTTGAAGGATGCTTCCAACTACGTTAGAAGGTTCAATGTGGCAACATTATTTACAAATCCTGGCATGCCTCCGCTTGTAACTTATTTCGTATTCATGCTATATTGGGATCTAATTATTATCTATGGACTTGGTTCAAGTAGGTATTTGAAAAATTGTGGCCGTCACCCTCACCGCTTGCGATAGAGGAGCAATATTGCTTCATCAACATACTCACAATTGCCAAAGCCCAGTGACACTCTCATTTCGAAAGCCATGAAAAGTAGAGCCGCCAGTGATCACTTTGACGGTGGAGACTACAAGCGTTGCATGTATTCGGCAGGTTGAAGGATGCGATTCTGACATTGTGGCTCGTTATTAAACGCAGTTGTTGGACCCAACCGAAATCTAAGGTGTTCATTGCCAATGTTCTTCTAGCCTTACAGACGTTTGATAGTGTGCTATGCGTGAGGATGATTTTACCACCAAAAAGCAGTTGTCCAATCAAGCAGCTTATGCAAAAGATAGCGGCGCCTATGGTGTTACAGATAAATTGATCCAACTTTGTAGTCTGGAGCTGTCTCGATTTCGGACTTTGTAGTTGATTTATTGGAACTTTACAGGTCTGGTGGCTATTGCAAGACAAGGAACAAAAGAAACATTAATGAGATTGATTTCTATCGACCAGATTTAAGAGTCTTTGTGATTACTTGGGAGCATCCTCCAACATCTTATTTGATTTTCAATGATAGATTAGCGTTAGCTGGATAAATTTCTCCATGATCTTCTGTATGAGAGTATATCCTCGATAAAGTGATAAACAGTTGGTATTTGCACACTTCTTGGTCGGCCACATGCGCTCGTCTTTTAACTAAATGTAAGCACGATATTGTGCTACTATTTCGATCAGAAAGAGCCTGTTTTGCGATGCAACGTGTTGGGAGTCGGAGCAATGCCGTAAATATTCGTAATATCTTCAAGATCATTGCTGGCTCAGCATGGTTTTGGAAAATTCTAGCATACACCTACCCACTCAAACGTTTTTTCAGTTCATGAGATTAAATTTTAGAACAATGATATATGTATACAGCTGAAACCGAAGGCTGTATTCTATAACTACTGGGGGTCTTATTTAAGATATTGAACCAACCTCTACGATTAAGAACTCAAAGGAGGATCTAATCTTAACAAGCATCAAGCAGTACGAATTATTATGCTTACGTAGGTAAAAATTGTCGCCAACTCAACTTGGGGCGAACCAGATTTGCAAAATTTTAGAGCTTGTCATAAAAGCAGATAGATAAGTCAGAGCCGCAACTTGTTCGTAATGCGTTCCACTTTCTACAGGCTTGAAATACACTTAAATTGGTTGTCATTTGCTCTGAAGACTTTACCGCCGAACTTTCATTTTTCCATCTCTTTGGTAGTGTTAATAATTGGCCTTTCTTCAAAACTAGTTCTAAAGCTAAAATATAAATCTCGTCTTCTAGGACATGTTTGTATATAGATATTGGCAATAACAACTCAAGTCAATTTGCCCTGTATCACACTACTTAGCTGAAGGGAGAGGGATAGTTTTCTCCAGGAAAGCTGCGGTGTCTGCATTGCCCTTAAGCACTGAGTGTTGCAAAACTACAGAGAGCCATTTGTTCAGCGTAGTGAAGCTATCAAACTTATCTTTTCCGAGAGCAAAACCGGAGAGAGTCGCGCATATAGTTGCAGTGTATGAATCCGCGACTGTGGCCTGGTCTTTAACCAGGAATTCATGCTGAGCTAGGAGCTGCTTCAAAAAGGCAAAGCATGCGAGGCATTTGGACAGTTTGTCTTCGTATTCCTCTTGATTTGCATTGGTCTCGGTAGCGGTCACTAATGCAACAGTGCTTGAGGTTATTTCTTGGTTTGTGAATGACAATATCCTAATCACCTGCGAACGTTCCTCCAGAGTAACTCCGTAAAAGGTTTTTTCAAGTTCCGCATCGTCCTTCAATCTAACGAGGTAGTACAGAATTGCCATGACCTCGGTCAATTCAAATCCATGGCTGCCAAGAAAAGCTGGACTCTTTTCAAGGGGAAAGAGGTTTTTGAACTCCTCATTCTTTTTACTTGTGTTTACTGGCTCGATATCAATTTTGAGCCATTCAATCAGGGTCCGGGGCAACATGCCTATAACAGTTTCGGAAGCGTATAGTGTTCCCATTGTAATTGTATTTGGTTGATAAAGCAAGGAAGAAGCTCTGCACAAGTGGCTCAAGCTCGCGCTTTTTATACATCAAACATATCTCGAGACCGCTCGAGGTTGAAATCGGCTAACGTTAAAAGACCGATTGATAGCACAACACAATTAGTCAGGTCAGCGCGTAGTGCAAATTCTTTTGCTTGTTAGTTTCATGCCGCCTCTACTCAACGTGGCTTTATCGATCTTAGTAATGGAAGCCTGACACCAGTTTTGTCGAAGGAGCTGATGATGTGCCGAGGAAGGGCACATGGGTCAAGGACAAAACAAGTTGGTCATTCAATCGTTCAGTTTAGGATCAATGGCTGGTTCCAGTGCTCAAGGGCTAGCTGTGTTTCCATGAGTGCCGTAAATTGACAACCCCAAATACCGTCCATTGGTAAAGCTTGGGAAAGATCTTTGGCCACTAATGATCTTTAGGGCTATTTGATATTTCGCAATTTTCGAGAAATTATAGTTCTTTCATAATTCTAGTAATTAAGCTTCGTTTCTAAGAATCCTCACTTTTTTCATATAATGACATACTACTTTGACTATGGTGGTGTTGATCGCTCAGCGCTGTTCTAACGGCTGAAGCTCGAATCTTTAGTGATTATTATATTTAAACCTTTTACAAAACTGTAACGGAAGATGCTTGCTAATAAAGGCATCATTAAAGCACCAATATGGATTCCATAATTAATTTGTAAAAACTGTGGGGGCCTCAAGAAGTGAGAGAAAGTGAAGGATGATTGCTAGAAGTTGAGTAGGCATTTTTAATTCATTGATAGCCAGCTGTGATCTCAAGGTATAGTCGATGTATGCTTGTTTGTTGCTGACGTATAAAATTCAAATCTCCAACAATTGTTACCAACTATCGCAATTTTGTAGCATTTTCTTTTGTTCCGAGGGTGAAGCTAAATTCGAGATGCTCTCGATCTACAACAAACAGCCCTCCACTACGCAAAGCTTCCAAGCAGCGAATAGATGCAGAATTTGACCCTTCTTGCAGAAATGTGTCTTTCCGCGTTTTCGGGGACGTGCGCTAACCCCGTGAAAAGCCCGAGAGATTTCAGTGGGACGATCTTCGACAGCTATCTGTGCTATCGAGGCCATTGATGAATAGTCTCAATGACATGAAATTGAGACAATCACTTATTAATACAGAGTGAATTGAACCGCGACAAGTGCTTGCCTATCAGCAGCTACTCATACATGACGAGCATCCCATTTTGGTAGCCACAGATGATATAAGTCATATTGTATTTGGCGATTCGGGGTTATTTTACTTTCCTAAGTATACATAGAGCAGATGAGCTATTCTGCAGTATCTCATAAATACAGAAATCACGGAGAGCTAAGTGAACCATAACAAAATAATAACCAGACAAATCCTTAGTGAACAACCCAGCACATCAAGCACCGCCGACGCAGGTTTGATCGTCAAAAATATATATAAAAAACAGAAAATATAAGAGCTTAACTAGACGCGACCTGCTTGGAAGCCTCTGCAAAGTTGGGATAGTCAGTGTAGCCTTTATCAGTTTGAGAATAGAACGTATCTCTGTCGTACTCATTTAGAGGCAAACCATGCTTAATTCTGGAAATCAGATCTGGATTCGAGATAAAGAGTCTGCCGTAGCCCAGCAGTGTTCTGTTGTTCTGTTCCACGGCGCGCAAGGCAGCCTTTGGATCCAGAGCGTAATTACCAGCTCTAATGATGAGGCCCTTCCATACACTATAAGCGAACTCGTTGGTTCCTCCAGTATACCAGCCTTCTCCTTCAGCGTCGGCCGGATTAGTGACGCGAGGCTCGACTAGATGCACATATGCGAGTCTTTTTTCCATTTGTGCCCTCTTTTCAAGTTCGCCTAAAACATATGCATACTGGGCAACAATCAGCTCCTCAGTTCCTCCTGACATTGAACCAAACACACCGTAAGGGGAGAAGCGAATACCGACTTTTTTGTGCCTATTGCGTCGATAAGAGCGTCCACGACCTCTAGTACAAAGCGCGCCCTGTTTTCGATAGAACCACCATATTCGTCTGTTCTTTTGTTGGAAATGGGGTCTAGGAACTGATTTAAAAGATAACCATTAGCGCTATGGATTTCTACACCATCTGCACCTGCCTCAATAGAGTTTTTTGCTGATTGAACATATTCCTTAATGTATTGTTGGATTTCACTTTTGGTTATACCGTGTTGTTTGTTATCACACTCAACAGCATTCCTTTTCATACCCTCATTCATATACACCTCGTCCGAAGCAGAGTCGTAACGTAAGCCATCGCGCTTCAAGTTTTCTGGGCTACCTTGTCTTCCTAAAACCCAAAGTTGGACCCAAACAAAGGACTTGTTCTCGTGAATCTTGGCGAAGATCTTCTTCCACTGCGTCATCTGCGCCTCAGACCATATACCGGGAGCGTTGTCATAACCACCAGATTGAGGTGATGGAAAAGTACCTTCGGTGATAATCATGGTTCCCGGTGCCTTTGAACGCTGATCGTAGTATTCCATTGCCCAGTCTTTGTTGGGCACATTTCCGGGAGCGTGTGCACGCAGTCTGGTGAGCGGGCACATCACAGCCCTATGTTCAACGACGGTGTCGCCGACGGCCAATGGCTTGAACAAGTTGGTATCTTGAAGAGCGATCGGCTTGAAGTTTTTAACAAAAGGCATGATTTGATTTACTTATCAATCGGTTCGTTGCTATAAGCTGCTCTTCGAATCTCCAAATAGACAGAATGCATGGTCTCGTAGAGCTTTGCTCGAGCTAACTTATACTTCCCGTTTGCAAGATTCGGCTTCGAACTCAATTACTAAGATAAATTTAAGGTATATGTGACTTTCGCAGATATTACAAAATATATGGGTAAACACAGTTAATAAGCGGTGAGAAAGCAATGAAAAGGCTTGGCAGAGCTCGAGGTACGAATGGGCGAATGAGTTTTTATTATAATATCATCATAAAATGCCTCACGCAACATGTGTTGCTTGACTTGGTGCACAAATTTCGCATTGTGATCATTGTCATAGCTCTTGAAGCAGTTTGAGCTGAGGTTGGCCAACATGATTAGATGCTTTAGTTGAGGCTTTTTTGACTATACTAAGAGAATTGCTAACAGTCTTGGGAATGTTTTGTGCATACCCCTATTTTGCCTAAAGCTTTAAAGAACCTATGTCAGAGCTAGCTCCATGTTAGATGGTAGCGTCAATTATGTGAGAGCTACATGCCACTGTAGCGATAAAAGGACATGGAACCATTACTGGTTACCTATACACTGCACCAGGAGAGTGGTCGTGCGCTCATGAAATATGAGCTGTTGCGCTTCCAACTATCAAACGATTTAATCAATCGAACGATCAGCAAACTACAGGAGTTGCGACTGTTCGCTTAATGTTGGCATATCCCGGGGAAGTGAAATAAGCTCGGTCCAACTTGACTCATGCCGTAAAAGACCATTGCTAATGCGCTTAGTAGAATTTAGTAGTCTAGGAGTCATAGTCAATGCACAATCATTGGAATCGTGATTGTGATTTGATTCTAACATGAAGTCTGTGCTGCCACTCTGTATATACCTGTCATTTGTCAAATTCATATCTGATGGCGCACTTGGCACAATGAAACAAAGATTCCACTGAGAGCGACAGATAATAAGTTGCGGCAAGTTTTGAAATCGATTCATATCGCATTTCTAAAGAATGTCAATTGGCACTGAGCTACGGTGATCCAACTGTAATTGCAATAACTTTCTAATATTCAGGTTCTGGCAGTAATTGTTCAGATAGGCTATCCCAGCAAGTCCTAGTTCATCCTCAGCTTCCAGCTCTTGTTTAATATTAGCAAACCCGTGATGGATATTGAATATTCTTTGCCTCACTGAACAATAAGAAAAGGTATTAAGGGTAACTGAAGCTGTTCACTTCGGCAATGACGAGTATTTTACTAGGATAGACTCATACTCTGACGTTTCGTCAAATTTTGATAGCGGTTCTTAAAGAAGCTTGACGTAGATTTCCCATTTCATGTAAACATGGGTTGCACTTCTATGCTTGCTTTAGTGCCACTAATATAGTTGAGTTTAGCTGAAATTCAGTCACCTTATCGAGTAGGGCACGGTTTACAAAAGGGTTCCTAG